GAGAATCCTCCAAAATGACATGGATTTCCTCTAATAAATTCCTGCAAGCCAACAGTCTTAAAGTTGATTGAAATGTTAATTTTATTTAAAAAGAAAAACCTACAGAAAGACATTTAACAGTTTCAACTTTTCATTTGCTTTATTCAAAGGATGTATCTTTCCCACTCATTTATATACAACATCTTACTTGTTGACTGTACAAATACTAATGCATTTGAATACAGAATGTATGTGAATGCCATTTGTCAATCTTGGGATTGAGGGAAAGGAGAGCGAAGTCTAAACAAAAGGTTAAAAAAAAAAAAAAAAACCCAAGTCTTTACTTTACATATTTCTCCATAAATTTCTTGTGGAACTCAGAGCGCAGTGTGTCATTGATAAAGCGTTTCTCCTTCCTTGCTTCGTCAACTCCTTTGGCGCAGTTCTTGAACACAACGTCATCATCCCACCTAAAAATATATTAACACATTCATTTGAGTGGATTATAAGTGGAAAGTGAAGAGAACATTTTTCTTTATACATAAAACTCATGATGTGTCTTTATGCCATACCTTCTCTTGACTCTGAATGTAGTCTGAGTCGGGGCGACCTGCTGTTGCTGTTGCTGCAGCTGCTGCTGCCCGGCCAAATTGATCAATGGATTGCCACTCAATATATTCTCCATGCGAATTCTCTCCTCCTCTGCCTTTTGCTCCCGCTCCTAAAATGGGAAAAGAAACAACGTCACTCAATGACAGCACATTTGCCTCATCTCAAACAGAAATGGTGTCTTCACTGTGCTGTGCAGTGGTTCAAACTTTACTTTGCGTTCTTGCTCTTCAGCCCGTTCCTTCTTGATCTTCTCCAGTTCTGCCAGAAGCGCTGCAGTGTCATCGTCATCGCTGTCCTCCTCAGAGTCCTCGTCCTCATCGTCCTATAAATAACCAGGCATCACTGATGAGGGAGTTCTAATCCCCAAAAAGTGTGATTAAATATTGCAGGGCATGCTCTTACATCGGTGAGAGGGTCGTCAGCATCAAGGTTGGCTGCTGGGATCTGATCTAGTCTGGGCCTCTTTGAGGATGATGACGAAGATGATGATGATGTGGTGTGCTCTGGAAAATTAGGGTCAATGCAGTATATCAATTATTGGTTTAATGGGTATATACGTTACATAACATGAGTAACTTGCATAGGAATAAAGAATAGAAGACATGTTAAAAAACATTAAGTCTCGGCAGAAATACCAACCTCTTGGTCCTCTCTCTCGGGTCTTTTCACGTGCAACTACACGCTCCCTTTCCTCCAGCTCCCTGCGGAAGTCACGGGCACGCACCTCTTCCTGGTTATCCTGGGTAGGTTGTCTGAGAATGGGAAAACACATTTGTTATATTTCCAGCAAATGTCCTCCTTCAGAGTGAGCAGATAGAAAGTGAAGTAGGAAGAGTTCAGCAACAAACATACTGGATAATAATCAGCGGTTGACTGAGTGAAACACCGATAACATAAAAAAATCATTCTACGCATGTTTGAAATACTGACCTGTATTTGATCTTGGTGTGACCCGGGAGATCTCGACTGGAATACTGCTTGGACAGGGCACTTAAATCCCCTCCACCTTCTCCCTTACCTCGCCCTCCTCTTGCCGGCTCAAATGTTGGTCTTGCAGCTGTAGTCATCTTTAATAGATCTGCAGAGAGGAGAACAAAGATTACATTAACATGTTTATCCAAAGCAACTTACATCATTGAGATACAAACTAAGAAGAACAGATACAAACCAACTAAAAACCAAGTGATGTTCAGAACAGTACACACCCAAGACCTGAGCACATTTAAATAGAGAGGGATCGCTAGAAACATGAAGCTCCTGACATGAATATCAAGCTGACTTGTCAATATTGAAGCAGCAGCTCCCTCATTTGAATTTAACAACATATGTTACACTACCCTACGTCTAAGTCTGTTTACTTCCTAAAAATCAAATATGCACAAAGTGTCTGCAGGGGATACATTTCAGGTGGTATGGTTGTGCGTAGCTTTAGTTATTTCGTCTAACATTAAATTGAAGAAGCACATCCAACTACAAGCTAAGCAATGTATTGCCAGTAGGCGTTTTGCTCATCAGACCTTTAAATAACGTAATACTTATCTTACTGTATAAGAGACATCTGCCGTCTTTTATAAGGCAAATAAAGGTTTGCTAATTATTGCTAAAGAACAGAAGCTAGCGAGTTTTCCACTACGGCTAACAAGTTGCTAGCATGCTAACCTGGACCAACAACGATGAATAATAAGAAACCAATGCTAATTTGTTTAACCTGTCTATTGTGAACACTCAAAAATGAAAAGTTTCATAAAGTAATTTCACTAAAACTCATTTTAAGGGTATTTTAGAAATGGATTTTAGAGAAATAATACTTACGGAGCTGCTACCGCACGAGAAAAACCGAAACAACGCGTGTCGTCACTTCCTGTAGAAACCCGGAAAAGATGCATTCATAAACCCTCGGAAATTTAACAACACTCTGAACCCTTCGTGCTAAAGGATTTTCATATATTTGAATATAGTGATCTTGTTGATTCCCACATTTCCGTTATGATGATTAGTGAATTGAGCTCTTACTAATATACTAAATAACTATTCTACGGTATATTCAATTTGATCATCTCTATATTTGCTTGTAAGAACAAGTAAAGTGCCTTAATTTTCCTTATTAATTATTGTGCAATGTTGTATTGGGGAAGGTAGGGGGGGGGGGGAGTGTCAAATAGTAATATGGATGCTTTGAAAGTATTGGAATCTGAATTAAATGTAATCATAACACAAACTTGAAAATCTGCCAATAAGGGTTAACAATGAACAAGCAAAAAATGCGTAAGAAAAAGGAGAAGAGTAATACAGATTTTCAAAGATAAGATTCACTTTATTGATCCCAATTGGGAAATATTTCAGCAGCATGTAAACATTAGGGGTCGAGAGAAGCAAATGTATATATATTTTTTTTACAAATTTGAACGGACACTGATTTAAATTGTTGATAAATTATTACATTTTCAGGCCAGTGGAGACGTCTCAAGATGAGGTCTAATATCAGATTTTTTGTGTCAATTTCCAAAAACTAACATGTAATAATGACAGCGTACACAGCCGAACCACAAAATGGCCCAAAGAAACAAGGTCATTAATCTGTCAACCTTAACTTTGCTGTCGCCAGGGGCTGATTTGTTTTACAGATCACACACACATACTTAAATGCAATACGTTAAGGAACAACTTGTGACATCTTGTGACACATTTGTACAATTCTTTCAACTCCAAACAGGAAACACATTCCTCTGTGCATATTTCTGAAGAGTTACTTTTAAATGCAAACTCTTCCACTGTTGAAATTCAAATATACTGCACACATTATTTTACATTTCCTTATTATTTTTTATTTTTTACATTTTTTATAACAGTTCTTAATTTGCTCTTATTTTACAACTCAATTCCTCCTTCAGTGTTTATGTTTGCATCATTGTACACCAAAGCAAAATCCTTGTGTGTGTAAATGTACATAGCAATAAACCTGATTCTGGAATATAATAAGACAAACTCTAAATATTTAAATTGTAATTCTGCAGGGTACGACAGATTCAACAGTAAAATAATACTTAGTTCTTTCTCCTCTTTTCACCTTTTCATTTTGAATGTAAATGGCATGCAATTGAATAATATTATGAAAAGGCCATTTTCAGCAGTACGTCAACCAACCATGTATTTTCTGTACAGTATGTACTATACTGTCTTTGTTATGGCTTTGAGTGCATTCGTCTTGTTTTGGTAACGTGCTGTAGGAATGCTTTACTGAAGTTGTTGGCTGAGGTTCAAAGAGGCAAACCTACAGAGGAGGTTCTGCTGGATTCCTAAAAAATGATACGTTTTTAGGTTCAAATGCAAATGTTCACACGAGACCCAGAAATGTTTCTACATGCTGACATGCTCCTAAAAAAAGCTGCGAGTATGTTTGTGTGTGTGCGTGTTTGTGTTTAAGAGCTGAATAATATGTGCAATATCGTTTTGAATATTCATTTGATTCAGGGCATGTTTATGGAACATTACCCAAAGGATAAAAAGTATTTTGTCATTTTGTCATGCAGATCCTTTTGACTCCAGGTTCTGTTGAGTTTCTTAAATTACATTAAAAAAACAGCTGAAACATCTCTCTACAGACACAGTAATTCATTTAGTTATTTAACATGGCAAATACAGCAATACATCTATATTGTTATTGTGCATTGATTTATGGGAATGTGTTTGGCAGCTCTTTAGCAGTGTGCAACATCAAAGTAGTGTCAGTTTAAAATGGGCATGTAAATAAGTAGTAGTAAATAAAAGCAGAACAAATAACAAAAAAGGCTGAGGTTAACTTTCTCGATGAGCCAGTTTGAGTTTCACTGGAGCAGATCCAGATGTTTTGCACTGGATTTCTCAGATACTGTAAAGGAGTAGATAACATTCTTAGTAGTATGAAATCAGGTCTTTCTTGATTCCTAGACAGCCCTACTCTGTAACTGCATGTTTGTGAAGGAATACTTTTCTTTGGAGCCAAGAGGGAAACCACACTAAAATGACTCAAAATGTTTCCTTACCTTATTGTCATATGAGGTAAGAGAAGCAGTCATTGGCAGTGAACATCTTGGATACAAATATATGAAATGGAATTTCAAAATGAGAATCTAAGACCCAAAATAGTGCAGGACTCAAATATTAACATGTAGACATTCAAATGTTTTTATTAATTTGTTTAGCTCATAGTCTGCAGGGTTTCATTTCTAGCCACATTTTGAAAAACACATGCGTGAAAAAAACTAGGTCAGGATATAGTGATTGTGAAAACTTGGCAGCTGTAGAAAGTTACATTTCTTGCTCCAGGAAACAGAAAATATAAAACAACGACATTTTTGAAATGCATCCCGCCCACCCAACCTGCATGGCAGCATCCTTCACTCCAGCAGGGGGTGGGTACTTAAGTGACAGGCGGGGTGGTTGCTAAGGCTGAAGTGTCTCTAGCTGCCTGAGACAGAGACCCAGAGGAGGCTACACTTCACTCTGCGCTGACACAGCTGACCTGAACAGGTGAGAACAAAATATGGTGCAGAAAAAGTCTTCAACTTCTAATTTCATGTTCATTGGCTATGCAGGGTTAAGGGCTCATTACAAAGTCAGAATTGCTTTCATTTTCTATGCATAATGGATTTGACCTGGTTAATTGGAGCTGACACAGCCCCACCAAAGGAGATTAAAGCACAAAGTGCAGGTCAAAATGTCAAGAGGGGCTAAAAGAGAATTTAGATATATGCACACACTATATCTTTTTTGATAGGACATCAGCTGTAAACACAGAGCGGGTTGAGAGCCTGAGCAAAAGAGCAACTAGTAAATATGGATACTTAATATGTGGGAGAGAATTTTACAGAACTCTGTCACCTCTTTTTTTACTCAAGGTGAAATTATTCAGTTTCTATTTTAAGCATAAAATGACAAAAGCATAGAAATAGTTAATTATAATATATCATGGCTCCAAATGTTGACACTAGTCAGTGTACTGTAATACATGACAAATGCTTGAATGTCACTTTGAAGAGTAGGTGGTTTCACATCAGAATGCAGTAGGACGGGTCGTGTATGAGATGTGTCTTTGAATTGTGAGCATATAGAAAGAGAAAAAGGTAAAAGGAAGCAAATAAAGTACAAGATATATACTGTAGATGAGTTGTATTGCTGTTATATTTGCTGTTTAACTTAAAAATACAAATCTTGGATAAAACATTGTGTTGTTTAAATCTCATTAGGTTAAATATCTGAGCAAATATCAGCATCATGTCACAAGGTAAGTCACACTTGAATTCAATATTTTATTATTTCATCCATTTATAAGATTTGAAAACAGTATGTGAGTATTGCCGATACCAACCTAGTGCTGACAGAAAGTGTGTGTGTGTACGTGTTTGCGTGTGTGTGTGTCTTTATAGCGGTTGACAGGAACAAGGTGTTCAAAACCACCAGGGTGCGGACTTCACTGAAGAATGATGAGTGTTGGATCCAGAGGGCAAAACAGGAAAAGAAAGAGGAAGAACAAGCAAGGTATTCTGCGTGGTTAAGATTCTACATTTATCATGAAATGTTGATTTAAATCAATATAATTATCACAAATTTGTGGTTATTGTTTTTTTTCTCAGTACTCTTTAGCTTTTCTCATTGCAAGAATTGACCTTTTTACAGAGAAATGGTGCAACAAAGATGCTGCAAACTAACAACTTTTTTCTGTCTTGCAGTACCGACCAGGCTGTGGAGAGCAGACCCTCTCCGGACAGACTGAGCTCATACGTCCTGTCCACAGTTAAGAGATTTGAGTGAGTACCTGCCTGTTGTTGCCTTGAAAGCAAAAAATGAACACACATACAGTAATTCTATAAAACCACCAAAACATTCATAAACCCATACCCAGGTTTGTCCAGCAGGTGGCGCCATGTTTAACAGTATCTAAGCTTTCAAGTGCTTCACAGTGATTTGGAAAGCTTCTCCACATCACTAGTAAACATATAAGACACTATTTTATTTAAAAATATAATGCATAATTGGTCTTTTCTTTTATGGATTTAACAAACTAGTTATTTTTTAGGTTTGAAAAAGCAGTAAAGCTAAATCTTGTAACAGTTACATATTAGACCCTGCCACATCTTGTGTTTATACATATTTGTGCAGAGAGCCATATTGATACACCGTGGTGGCGTTGAACTTTTCCTTTTGACTGTTGCGTCAGTGAATCAAAAAACTATGAAGGCTGCAGGCACTAATCCCCATCTGTGATGATAACATACATAAACATTAACTTAGCCATGGGCAGCTGCTGCTTCCATAAGGACCCACAATGCAATGCAGGCCCACGGTAGCTGGCTGATGGAGCATTGATCTGAATGCCATTCTGACTCCAGTATCCCCCCCCCAAGGCACACAAGAAAAACAACTGCTTTAACTCCACACCTGCATGTTCGCCCTGTAACACCTACAGGCTCCAAATGTACATTTTAAAATGTAATTATAATGTATTTATTTACCAGGAATCAATTTTAGTGTGTGAGTTTAATAAGAATCGTGTTGTGCTGAGCATAGTCACCATCATGATAAATGATCATATTTATATAAGTTGTTTAAATATGCTTTGAAACATTCATTTACTGTTTGCAGTAGTTTTCCCCACCAGTGTTTTGTTGCCAGCTGTACCTCTTGCATTGCGATTACATCACCTGAATGGAACACAGACACACACCCACACGTAATCACATCAAAGAATGATGACTAAATAGTTTGCTTAATAGTACACTGTTAAGCTTATGGAAATATATGTAATGCAGAAATATTCAAAGAATATATTTATTCTGTTTATTCTCCCTGAGATAATACTGCAGTGCTTATTCATTCATCTGTGTGAATGGAGAACATTACAATATTTCAACACATTTATCTTGAGACACTCCCCAATTTTAAAAGGTTTCAACTTTTCTGAACAGTTCTTCATTTTTTGTATCAATAAAATCTGTATCATTTCGTAATGGGCCGAGTAGTACATTCACATGCACAAGCAAAGGAAGAATATGATGCACGACTGAGATGAGTTAGCCGTTTCAAAGCGGGCTATCATTTCCCTGCTATCATTATTACCAAAAGGACATTGTTATCCCTCATGTTCTCGCTGTTTGTTTTATGGCAGATTTCAACATTTTGGAAAGAAACCCCTTAGAAACAACTTTTAAGTATTTCTTCTTTGCAAATCCTCTGCATGGATCATAATACATGTTGCAATTTCCCCAATGTACTAGTTCCTGTAAGTCTTAAACAAGAGAATACAATGTTGCCAAGTTTGAAATGTTTCCGTTTATCTAAGCATGTAAAGAACAGTAATGATAAGAATATATTCATTTCCTCAGCGGGAATATATATTTTTAATTCATATCCTAATAAAACCCTTTTGACTAATTAAATTGTAATTTCAGAGAACTCTCCCCCAGGTTGGAAACTGCTAATGGGCAGCATTTAAATATGTTCAGTTAAATTCAAAATCTGAGAAAAACATTGACATCATTCTCTGAGAGAAAGCTGAAGGAGGTGTTGCATCCTTTAGTTTTTAAAATGATCAGCCAGGTTTAGTTAAATAAAGCAGTCACTCTCATTCCTTAAAGGTACTAATGTCCGACTGACAGTCTTGTGCAGTTATTAGTCTGAATGGGGGTCCAGCAGCTGTGAGCTCTCCCCCTCAGCTGATGGGGACAGGGAGCATCCAGCTTCTGAGCCCATGCTCTGCGATGCCATTAAATGACCCTCGTTGAAAGCAAAGTGGTTCAGTGGGTAGATGCCACATTTTCTAAAGCCGTCCTTCACAATCCTCACACCCTCCTCTTCCTTCACCACCTGATATGTCTCTTTAAACACACCTGAGAACTCCTTCTTGCTGACAGCAAAGTGAGAATCAGGGGCACAACCATCGCCTACGAAGGCAGCAAAGCGCTTCTTCAGGAGAATGAAGAGGCCTGCTTCGAGTGGCTGCAGGATGTGAGAGCAGTGAGGGGGGAGGCACAGAAGGATGACGTCCTCCTTACGAGCTGCTTCCACCACCTCCAGGTTCACCGGAGACTTGTGTCCGTCAAAAATCAGCAGCAGTGGACGCTCCTTTGGTGCGTGCAGGAGGAAGTGTTTGAGGAACCATTTCTTGAAAAGGTCAGAGTTGATACACCCCAAGTTGGACCATCCATAGATTGCGTTTGGAGGCCCTTGAGTCTTGTAACATACTCCCCCTGGGTATGCCTTTGAGTAGATAATAAACGGGGGAATGTCCTCTCCAGCTGCGCTAAAGCAAGCCAGGACGGAGATGTGGTCTCTGGAGCCTGACGTTGGCTTGCAGCCCAGACTGGCAGATTTAGGCAGAATCACCCTCTTCCTGCCCAGCTGAAAGCCTGTCTCATTGCAGTTGAAAATTTGATGAGGCTTGTCTCGGAGCCCACGAGAGTCCATAACAGTGCTTAGTAAGTGTAAAAATTGATCCAATGCTTCTTTTCTCACATGCACTGTCCTCCCACGAACAACATTGTCTGCTGGCTGAATGGTGATATTCTTTTCTTGACGTTTTCTAAAATTGAGCCACCAGGTCTGGCCTAGTTTAGAAAACGCCACCCTCCGATGCTGCCGCTTGTAAATGGATGATGCAAAAGACACCAGCTGTTGCTTTGTGAGAGGGAAGCCATGCTTGGACATGTATAAAGAAAACTCCACCAACAGCTCCTCGTCCGCAGATGTTATCAGCTGAGCAGGCCCGCTGCGGCTCCCCGGTGTCACCCGTCCACTCACTCTGTCCCCCAGCGAAGACTTAGGGACTCCAAACTCTTTGGCAGCCTGTCTCACCGTACACCTCCCAGACTTCACCTCGATCAACGCACGCTCCATGGCCTCCTCCGTCCATTTCTTCTTCTTCTTCCTCCCAATTTTGTCAAGATGATTTCTAGATGGCATTTTTTCTAGGACATAAGGCACAGGACACTCAATATGAATAACACACATGATAAAAAGCATAATTATTTTAAAAAAGTGTAAGGAAAATCACAAAGCTCAATATAACCAATCATTTATACTAAAGGTTGTTATGAATTAAGTAATGTTGTGTAAAGACATAAAAGGGATCATAATGCTATTTTTTATCCATCCAAAACACATTCCCAGCTCTGGATAAAAACCTAAAAATCTGTTTTTCGTCCTGATTATTTGTGAAAAGAGGGTGGTAACAATACACACAACTCAAGGTCCACATGCACAATACATGCAATGCTGTCAAGTCAAATTTGAAATACAGTATAATAAACAATTGACTGTGCATGTTTAATTTAAAAAAAAATATTGAGAGACTTAAAGATAATGTTTCAAACATGTTTATCTTCAACATTATTTATATAAAAAAAATGGAAATCCATTTTTTTCCCACCGATTTTACAGTAACACTTTCCATGTTATTTTAGTAAAGGCATACATGCATTTTTTTATAGCCTACTAAAAATAATATTGCACTAGTAATTTCATTAACCGTCAAAGCTCTCCATGTGCGTAAATAAACCTGTTAAAAATACCAGACTCCTAATTTGGGAGTCTTTGGAATAATGTTTAGTTACTGGGGGACAGATGATCACTGTCTTGGGCTGGTTGAGAGTTCTGTTAATGCATCTATGGTCGCCCAGAGTAACGATACTGTTTGTCGGGTACCTAGAATAATGTGACGCCTGGTGGGTTTTTTATGACTAAATTACGCTCAAAAATACAAACCCATTGGCAGTGTTACGTCTACAGTCGTAACTACATTTCTGTAGGTTTCAAAAAGTTTAAATTAGGCGGTCATGTCTTACCAGCACGCACGTTTTCACTGTCTAGCATGAAACGGCTAGCAGCTAGCATCACAAGCCAGGGAAAGCGGAAGAAAACCGGAAGTAAAGTGTTAGTGTCTCCAAAATAAAAGTTTTGAAGTTCCTGTTACACAAATAAGTGTCAAAATGTATAGATGTTCAGATCAAATCTATTCCATTACATCACAATGCTTATATGACGTGAAACTATTATTGTTAAGTAGAATCAAACAAACAACAACATAACCTCACATTCTAACACCATCTTACCATAGACTGTACTTTTATAGATGATGTTGCACAATGTAGGCCTATGTGTTTTTCCATGACAGATTAAGATAAATATGTATTGCTATGACACAATGGCAATTCGTTTGAATGATTAGTTTCAGTCACTAAATCATTGCAAATGTTCACACTCATATTTTAGTATTTACAGCTAAGACCATGGCCTTAACATCTATCATAATGTAGTGGTCATCAAGATGTTTTGCTACTGCAAGCATGATTGACCCAATCCAATTTCGGCTGCCATCTATTACCAGCAATGTCAATATACGAGAGACAAACACTGGAACCAATTGACTCACGAAAACAGGTCCACCCCCACACTGTTCAAGGTGTTTGGTGATATTTACATCGTTAATAAGCATTCTGTTGTCATTTAAAGCTCTATTTGTCAGCTTTGCTTCATAAATCAATGTAGTTGGTCATTCTTTTCATATTTCTTTTTACATGCTGGTGTCCTTTCTCTGTGATTTGTTGTGCTCATCGTCTAATGCAGGTCAGACTTTTTATGCAAGTTTTTATAGGTTATAAAGCTAAACCTGTCACTAAGGCTATAAAAGAAGAATGAAGAGTCATATTTGGGAACTGCCATAATTCATACATCTCATCTTCCTTTACTGATGAGGTTTTATCTGTTAACACTATACAGGAAGAAAGAAGTGACCTGTTGTCATGTTGTGCATAACACTTTTACGTGCACAGAATTTAAACCATCTCGATATGGAGCATTTGGTTTTAATGGCAATTTTCAGCTTAAGTAGTTTAAACCTGATTTATGTATATTGTTTGTGAATAATTATTAACAAGATATGTTTTGCTATTTTGGTATTGTCTACTTTAAGGTTGTAAATGCTAAGGTTGTTTTCAAAGTTTGTTTCATATTCTCCCCCTTTAGAGCAGTAGACTCTCCACCGAGCACTACCCTCCAAACGGCTCCATCTGAAGGGTATGTACAGTACAGTATATGGGCTGCATTTTAATAACAAATAATGTATGCAAACTATGAGCAGCATCCACAGTCCACTTGTTTCTGGCATTGATACATTATTATTCTCATTTATTCTAAAAATGTAAACTTTAAATAATGTGTATATATTACATGATCATTATTAATATTCTGCTTTATGTTTTTAGCGATTCAGCAAATCATGCAAATGGTGAAGTTATTCCCCCAAAAGATGCTCAGCCTGAGGGGTCAACAGTGGGGCCCACAGACGATGCAAAGTTAGTATTTTAGAGCATCTCTCTACTGATTGTAACTGCTTCTGATTTTAAGGATTTTCTTTCATGTATTTTCTGAAAGATAATTAAGACCCTTTATTACAGGACCCAAGCACCCACTGAAGAACTGAATGTTGAGGCACAAGTAGAAACATCAGTTGCCAACACAAATGCAGAAAACAAGGAAGAAAATGCTGCAGAGAACAAGGCAAATGTAGAACCAATTGATGTTGTTGCGGAGCTTCATTTTGCAGAACGTATCCAAATTGATGAAGCCCTAACAGTTTCTTCAACACAGGAAATTCCAGAGGCAGTGTCTGATGTGAAGACAGCTGAGCAATCAGTTGCCAATGCAACTGCAATCAAGGAAGATCAATCTGATGCAACAATTGAGCAGCCAAAAATAGAACTCGATGAGCCCAGGGTGGCTACAGATGGGCCTGCTGTTACAGATGCAGCAGGAGAAGAGTCTCCTATCCAAGTCAGTGTTGAAACAGTCCCTGACTTAGTGTCCGCTCAACCTGCTGCTGAAATGGCTACAGAGGGAAGTTGTGACAAAGGTTCCCAGGAACCGGCTGCAGTAGAAGTTGTGGCTGAGGCTGCTGTGGAGTCTTCACCTGAGGCGCCTGCTGTTACAGATGCAGCAGGAGAAGAGAGTGTTACCCAAGTCAGCGTGAAAACTGTCCCTGACTTAGTGGCAGAATCTGTTTCTGAAGTGCCGGCTCAATCTGCTGCTGAAACAGAACAGGCGGCAGTAGAAGTTGTTGAAACTGTAACTGAGGCGGCAGTAGAAGTTGTTGAAACTGTAACTGAGGCAGCAGTAGAAGTTGTTGAAACTGTAACTGAAGTGTCACCATCTGACACGAGTGACGTGGTTAATGCAACACCAGGAGAAGTGGCTGCTGTCCAAGATATTGTTGAGGCTGTAGCTGAGGTTGCTGTGGAGTCATCACCTGAGTCCCCTGCTGTGACCATTGTGGCAGGAACAGAGGCTCCTCTCCAAGTCAGTGTTGAACAAGTTCCTGATTTAGTGGCTGAATCTGTAGCTGACGTGCCGGTGCAACCTGCTGCTGAAACTGCTACAGAGGGAGGTTATGAGAAGGCATCCCAAGAACAGGCTGCAGTAGAAGTTGTTGAAGTTGTGGTTGAGGTTGTTGTGGAGTCATCTCCTGAGACACCTGCTGTGACATTAGCCGCAGAAACAGAGGCTCCTCTCCAAGTCAGTGTTGAACAAGTCCCTGACGTAGTGGCAGATACTGTTTCTGAATCTCCTACGAAAGCTGAAACTGCAGTCAAGTCTGTAGAGTGTGAGGTCAAGTCTGCACCCTCAGCAGAGACTGTTTTGGAGACCAAAGCCGAACAGGTAGCTGAAGTCCAGACTGTTGATAACACTGTTGTCGAGCAAATAGTTGAACCGACACCTGAGAAAGCAGCAGATCTTGTGACGGAGTTGAACATCGAGGATGCTCTTCTTGAACCTGTACCAGCTTTAGAAGACGTTCAGGATAAGTCCTCTGACATTGAACAGTCAAAGGCATTGGACGTGGAGCCCCCCAAAACTGAAGCTGCACCCGAGCCTCAAGATGATCCTAAACCTGCCGACCAGAACCAAAACTCCTATGAGGCCAACAGGTGAGTTAGCTCTGAAAGCTCAAGAGCACTGTTAAATTCATTTTTGCTGATGCTTTGTTAAAAATCTTTGACATATTTCAAAATTCCACAGCGTTAATGTAATAACTTATTAAAACCTCTATTATAGACCGTAAGTTTATACACAAAGGTTAACATTGGTAATAATCTTATTTTAACTTTTGTCTTTACTGCAGGAATACCAATGTTTGTTCATACTGTGACAAATTCATTGATGGAAATGTGAAGTTCTTCCTCAATGAACTTGTGATGACCTGCCACCCCGACTGTCTAAAGGTTTGTTCTGTTAGTTCGGCGACATATATGTATCATATTATATTTCGTCATTGCATAATGTTAATATTGAGTATGTTTTTGCAGTGTGGCGTGTGTGCTATGGCCCTGGGAGATTTGCTGACCGCCATTTTCTTGCACGGCCAAGTGATCCACTGTGGTGGCTGCTTTCATAAAACTTTCATGATCTGAAGCCTAACTTGGAGAAGAAGTGATTGATATGCTGTTTTTTTTTTTTTAACCAATTTACCTTCTGAAAGTTTATTTAAGACATAGTTTATTGTTAGAATGTAAGAGTTCCGTAATGATTTTTGGCAGCATGTTACTTTTAAACTGTATACTCCGGTTATCTAGGCCCTTTTTGTTTTGTTTTATGTATACATGTCACACTGTAGGACTGCGGGAAACTATATTTCGAGATTTCTGGATGTATAACACATGTAGAATGTTTGACAATAAAGCTGACTTTGACTTTGACTTTTAGTAGAAATAACCAAAGATGCTTGCCTAAAATACAATCAACATAAAATATTTGTATTGCGTCAAACTGTATATGATTGAATAAAATCACATTTAACTGTCCCAATTGTAAATGGTTTATTCAGCCTTAATTAAAAACACACAACACAACCTTCTCACTAAGTAGCAGGGCTACACATTAAACACGAGTCACCTGGAGGCACGTTATTGAAACATCAACACCCCAGTAACATAAAAACAGCCTTTTCAAGCAGAAACCCAAAATCATCCATAAGAATACACCTCCTTGTTCCCCTCCTACGCAGTGGCATTTAAACGAAGCAGAAATGCATTGAGTGAATGCAAAGTACATGTATTCTAAGTGAAAGCACAAAGGGAGATGGGACGATACACCTAACCCAAACATAGATCTCTGGTTCCCTTGCTTTAGTTCACATGAGGTTGCTACACAAGATGGTGATAATGAGGCAGCAGCAAAATCATATTCAGATCCAAAATATGCATCAGTAAACACTGAGCAGAGTGCATGCAGTTAGGATTTGCAAGGCGAGCAGTCATTGCTCTTAATTATTCATGAAACATCATACATCACAATCTGACAACAGCATCAGCACCAATAAAGCTTCATAAAATAAACCGAGAAGCAACCTGCGAAATAAAAAATGAACAACAAAGCTGAGAGAATCATCTTAGAGGAGGATGTGAGGAGGAGGCCGGAGCTCGCTGCGGGTGAGAATTATCTTCATCTCTCTGTCTGTTGTTCAGTGATGAGAAACATTTGTATAAAGGCATATTATAGCAGGTTTGGAAGGCGCTGTTTCCCAGGAGGAAGTCTGGTGTCGACTGTCCATCTCAAGGCCAGAGGAGGGGGTTCACTGGAACGGAGGTCTTGACCTTAGCGGACCCCTTTCCTGCCCAGGAACCGCAAAACTGCGTAGTTGTAGGTGGTGGCCGCCAGATAGACAAACTGCAAAGGAAAATATTGAAACATAAGATACATGGGCAAGGATACATCTCGCACTACAAACGTTTGAAATCATCTTTTCAAAGTGTTAATTCACCCAAATCCACACCAAATAAATCCTACCTCCCTCAAATGGTATAGCCATGCAGGAAGTTTTGTTAATGAGTTTTCCAAGATTTGAGAAATCGATTTCTGGGATTTTAGCTGCCAGCCCACTACACACAGGTGGATTTTTTTCATCACTGAAAATACACTTTGATGTGTGTTTGTTTCTCAGGATAATCCACATACTTTGCTTTGAACAGTATTGGTAGGCCTACTATTGGAACAATTTTCTTTGGCAGAAAGGAGTTCCACCGAGAGAGATAATAGTGAGGCCTTAAAAGAGGTGTTTCTCCTGAAAGTCATTTTTCAATGGTTTGAGTATCACAGAACTAAAAAAAAAATTCCATTGTGTTGGGGCGTCAGTCATCCTCAAACATCTCACAACCTGACCAAACTAATCCGAAGCCTTCTTCATGGCTATATCTGGTATTTGAGTGAGTGACCCTTTATTTACGAGTACAAAGGTAATATTTACAAGGGCACCTTAAATCAAGTTCATATTCATGACCTTTATTTGTCCCCAAGGAACAACAACACAGGACAATACAAATCAACAAAGAAAGAAAGAAAGAAAATTATGAAAGCAATTGCTCACCAGGGCTAAGAGAGTGACACCTGCACCAGCAAATGTCGCTATGTACAAGTCATAGGTGACGTGGTACTGTAAGACATAAACACAGGTTAGTTTATATATTGAGTATCCAATAGACCAATGAAAGCTGAGAACTGAGTGAAAGGGAATTTCAGATTCAGCTACTCACTTCGCTGGTTTTACAAATAGATGCCAAGGTCATCCCACAAGCCTTGCCTGGCATTGCATTCCAAGGAAGCAGACCTTAAACGGAGACATGACGTAAGTATCTCTTACTGTTTCTGAATCATGATGAGTTATGACGCATTAAGGTTCCCGCTTGCATACAGTGTGAAGGAATTAAGATAAAGATGCAGCTATCTGCATTATTTCATAACTAATTAGAGAAGCAGCTTTGCATCCACTCCAAATGATTTATTCATTGCTTTTATAGGACACATTAGCATTCTCATCAGGTCAGCATTTATAAGGACAACGCACCATACTGCCTGGCGTCAATGCAAATCCAGCCGTGCTGATTAATGCTGGGGGTGGTTTCAGCCAGGAGGTTGATGTTGTGGCAGGTCTGCTCCATGTTGAACAAGAAGAAGACCGGGATAGCAGTGAAGGCAAACACTGCCAGCCAGATGAACGCCAAGATGTACGTCACTATGATGAACTGTCGAAATAAAAAGCAGGTCACAGATTATTTCAAAATCGAGGTGAATCAGATGATTCAAAGAAAACACTTCAGTGAGCTTATAGAGCTTAAACAAACTAGCATTCAGCATTAAACAGTGAACTGACGTCATGTTTGCCCTCCCACTGCTCACCGTCAAACTGATGCAGCGGCCACAGTGGGTGCTCCTAAATTCACCGAAGGTCTGCTTGACAGCGCTCGTGGTGTAGAATCCCTCGGCCAGCAGCAGGATGCCATAGAGGAAGAAAAATGATGCCAGGCCATAGATCACGTACTGGAAGTATTTGATGCTAGACACAGGAAGGAAAGTCCGGTTAGACATATTAAACAACTCATGAGAGGTCAAAAGTTGCATAAAAGTGTCACTCACAAGGAGGCCATGATCGTAAAGTCTTGAGTGTTGCGGGCGAAGTAAGTCTCGACGAGGACTTCGGTGTTGGACAGCGCTTCATGCCCACAGCCACAAAATAACGCCATGCCGGCATATAACAGCAGGGTGGCCACCAGGGATGGGTAGGGCACTGCCCAAAAGCACCGGATACAGCAATCATAGCAACCTGAGGGGGCATAATACATCAGCACACAGGCGGCACACACCGCACAAATAATCACACAACACATCTACGACACGACGGGGAACTCTTTCACCCGTTGGGGGAGCTACAAAAAAGGCCTCGCTTGGTCTGCAAATCCATGAGCACACACCACTCCTCCGCCAACAGGCATGAAAGCAACAGAAAAATAAAATAATTAGAGTTCAAGCAGCATTCCCAATAAAAGCGTCCAAACAAAATCAGCCAGCACTGACTTCACAGTAATCTCATGCACTTCCTCCAGTGTAAGCTGTGCTGTTGAAGCAGGTAGCAAACATTCCCAGTGTTAATAAATGCATTGACAGAAATGGGAAGAGGAAAGCACCTAAGGCTTTGCAAAGCCAAGGCTGCCTGACCGGAAACATTTGCTGCTTCTGATCCTGTACTCCACAACAAGAGAGAACCCAATGCCAACCACTGATGAACAGTGCTGTCTGCAAGCTGCTGCTACAGTAAAACAGGTCTCTGCGCTGACTTCATCTGTATGCGAAAAGCTCCTCTGCTGGTACCAACACCTCACAGCTCAGCCCTATTCTCACTCTGGTCCTGCCCTCTTTCTCTGGCGGTCACAGGCGTCACGAGGCGAGAGAGAGATGGTGGCCTCAGGGGTCCGAAGAAAAAGCGTCTCTTTGTGACTCCAGATAAAATATCCATTGTCCTTGCCATGAACAGGGAGGAACAAAGGGCAGCGATGTCAAACAAACAAAGGCCATAGTGCCACAATACACACACACACACACACACACACACACACACACACATACACACACACACACACACACACACACACACACACACACACACACACACACACACACACACACACACACACACACACACACACACGCACGCACGCACACACACACACACACACACACACACACACACACACACGCCGTAGTATATGGTGGCAGGGGGTCACCAGGACAATTTCATCACCAGTGGCAATTCTCTACTCAGGCCACCCTGCCCCCACAGCTGTCTGCGACTGGTACCATGCCACTGAGTGTCAACGCCGGCGGGGTGTGGGTTCAAGTGTTCAAAGGGTGGGTGGAGGCATAATGAATGTGAGGGGCAATTTGAATATCATCACAACAACAACAAAAAACCCACTCAAAACTAGAGTTGTTTCAATTTAGAAATCCTTAGATGGCTAAATCATCCCAATGCGATTAAACATTCTGATGATTTATGACACCTTCAAAATTGACTTGGATTTAGGGGAAATTGTTGGGTCAAAAACAACTATATAACACACATGCAAACTTTATCCTGACAAAGGTTAGGGTTAGGGTTAGGGTTTCAGCCAGCTTACCTGATGCCAATTTCACAAAATACTGGATTTAAGTCGGAGGAAACGGAGGCTGGAAGTTCAACAAACTGCTTCAAAAGTATAAATAGTAGCAGCAGGAAGATAGCTAGAGTCCCAAAAATAATAGCGCCCACGCTTCAGCTGTGCCCTGCTGCAACAGTGCTTACAGTGATAAAGTAATCAGGCCACCATAGCCTCGATTTGAAATACATTGAAGCTTTTACAGTAGATTCAAGATTCAAGGCTTTATTTCCATGTGCACATTAGCTACAGTGTAGATATGGCAATGAAAAACTTAAGTCAACTTAAGTCACAGTCAAATTATCAATCATGACTCAAAAGCTGTAAAAGATATGTGTGAAAGTCAGGGAAAAAAACGGTTGGCAAAGGTTGTTTGGGTCCACATCTCTCTTGGAAATTTGCTAATTTATACCCGTGACACTCGTGGGAGTATTCGACCTCTTTGACATGAGTGACCCGATACGGCCTTGGCATGATGAGAGTCAATGCCCGTCTCTGTCAGACACTCTGATACTTGTTTATGGGTAAAAAGGTTAGACAAGGAAACGGGGAGTCCTTTCTTTATTAAGAAGCAATTCATCCTGGCTGAGCCCTTGTGCTCCTTCTGAAACCATCATTGTTTGTTAGAGTACATCATATATTAGGAATAATGGCACAGGGTGTATCATCAATAAATCTATTATCCATCTGTAGATATCAAAATGCTTTTGATGAATGAAAACTCTGAATTAATTTGCAGCACTTTATGCCCCCAGTGCACAAGGGCAACATGATGTCTAAGGAGAGAAAGGATATATTAAAGGCAACATTAGTCAGTTATTGAAATCCACATTTTCAAATCACATTAATAATAGATGATAAGAGTTATTAAAGATACGGCGCACTCACCCATGTCCAGAGAGAAGTGTGGGAGTTATTGAAGTTTTGCTGGGTGGCTTTGTGACTGTGATATGAGGATATGAGAAGTTATTCCCCGCCACTCCTATATGAATCTGACTCGCGCTTTTGTCTCATCAACAATAGATAGACCACATCTCCCCGAGACACATCTTAAAGTCACAAAGTCCCATTTCAGCTGCCAGTCATTATTTATGGTGCCATGGGTTCAGAACTGGGGATAGAGAATTAGTTATTTGTTTCAATATGAGTTTTTTATTTCTAGGCATTTGGGAATATTTAATGTATTTGACAAAAAATATGGGTAAATAGATTAGAATGGGAGTTTTTGCATGCTCACTTTAAACAGTATAATAGCCAAACAGATTAAATCAGTGTCAATAGTCTCAAATGATTTATTTAACTTTTCATTTAATTTCTCTAACTTAATGTGCACAATGCAAATGAGATAACATTTGTCTATCCAGACAGCCTTTTTACATGTTTTCACATCAAAGTAGTTGAATTATTTCATACATAATACCCTTTTAATGCCTACATGCATGTGTTGCCTGTCTGCACACACATGCATGATGTCAGCAGGAAACAAGAAACATGTCTGAGGGCCAGAAACACACAGAGATAATATGCACAGACAAATGAAGGGAAATCAATCGGAGTGACATGGATGAGGTTGACTAACAAGGGTGACATTGAGGGTCGGGTCCAGCTGCTGCCCTCCCTCCCTAATGTTTGACCTAGTTGATGTCAAAGCTGGGTTCGGTACAAAGGAGCCAGTGTGGAGCGGGAGAAAACACCATGCTATCTTTTTTTTTTTTTTTTTTGGAGAAGCCCCTCCAAACCATTTTCAAAATGGACATAACTGAATGTTATAAAAATACACTTAATTACTTTTTTCATACCATTATGTTCCATTTAAAATAAATTAATATTTGTAAGACACCACACTTTGTGAGGTGCCATCACTTGCTAAGGGAGCCACAGACCCACTCCCATTCTACCAATTAGGCCAGATAATCCACAGAAAACCCTCTGGTCCCCTCACAAATCAGCACATTTGAGAGACTAATCTGTTGTTGAACATAAAGTCACTCCTTTTAAGATGATGTGTTCACAAAGTAATATCCCCAAGGATTAGTAAAATGCTTGGTGTGAGTTTACAGTCTGTGATCTTTTGTCTCTTGAAAACCCAGAGCAATAACACATCAAGTAATTAGCATGTAGAAAGGATTAATGACATCAGAAAGTGAGGGAGTGGAGAGAGGAGTGATGCCTTTGAAATGTCAGTGAAAACCATGCCAGGGAAAGAGAGAGAAAAAGAGATAAGGAGCATTAATTTACCTCTGAGCTGAGTACGGTTGTCAGCTTTGCTTTCGAGATGTGAATAAACCATAATGTTGACAATCAAAGGACGGGATTTGGTAGAAGAACAAGTTTTATAGTCTTGCTGGTTTGGGTGGAATGACGAGAGCAATTCATGCATTTATGAATAAACTATATTCCACAAAGCTGATGCAGATGGTGGTCAGGGATGTGCGCAGCTCAGATGATGAATTATTGGGTAACCCTTAATATGATTGGCTGACAGTTAATGCATGAACTGATTTTGAACCACCGCATTACTCTCAGAGCTTTCATTTAAGTTGCAAATGCTATAAGGGAGGAATATATCAACGTATGTTTGCATAATAATGTAGGAAATTGTTTGATATTCAGCACCCTGGACAGAAGTGAATGTTATATATATATATCCAGTGTGCATGCATGCAGTATGTATATGTGATATGGCACACCTTTTTATAATTGTGAGCTCTGATACATTCACTAATACACACACACTGGAGGTGGTAATATGCATGTGTTTGTACAGGGGGAGGGGGGCCTGTTAAAATATATGCACCACCTTCCCCGTTATGGTAATGTGCGTTATCTTGTGGCAAAGCGAACAAACAGGCATCAAACAAACAAACAAACAAGCACTTGGAGGACAAAACACGTCAAGCTCAGTCAGAAGTGATTTCAGTGGCGATGACCTCCCGTGGTGAGTGCCTCAATTATTTGTTTTACTGCATGATGAATCAAAGTGAGGACTGAGCGCATCTCCAACTGGGTGTTTATTTGCTTACGTGTTTGATTGTCTTTCATGATAATCTCAGACTCTGCTGGCTGCGTGTTTGAAGCCTGGGGAAACTGCAACCAGGCGCATTGTTCCAACATTTTTAAAGATTGACTTTAAAACGGCAGGAGGAGCAGAGCAACAACAGATAGAGGCACGAGTGGAGCATTAAGGAAAGATGGAATAGGAGGACTGTGGGGTTGCTAGAGGTAGATAAACATTGGATCGTAAGTGATGGGTAAGTTAACTCAGTGAGGTTTGGATTGTCAATTAATTCTGATTGCCTTAAAGCAAGACTATTTTTTCACAGCAGTAAGCACAGTGACAATCAGCCCACACACACAATAATGGTCAATTATAACATGTCATCTAACAAAAGCAAAAGTCAAGAAACCCACGCATTATAAATAAAAAGGTTGCTTACATTAGCAAACATAAACCATCATAAGCTTCTGAACATAACAGATTAAATACAGTGGTGGTAAACCCTTTAAACTGGGGCCATTTTCTGAAAACTCTTTAAAAACACCTATGCTTTGCAGTTTAGACAGGTGTTTCCATTGCTGGCAACATTTCCTGCAGGCTGTCCTCAAAGGAATTTGCAAATGTATTTGCATTTTTACATAGCCAATAGACACGGCCTTTTTTTTAAATTACCTGTGATTAGCAAAGTCTTCCGTAACCGGCTAGATTTTCTAAAGTCTGAAAACAAAGCCAAGATGCAGATGTCTAGATTTCTCTCACACCACGTGAATTACAATGTAATTAAAGGGTATTATGGATTTTTTGCTCAATGACAAAACGACCAATCCCGCATATTGGGTATGGAATTGACTAAAGTTTATATTTTTGCTCATTATTTTTTCATTTGTAAGAGGAAAATGTAAAATATCTTGCTTCAAAATATACATAATCTTACTCAAGCCAACTCAAACTTAAACTGACCCAATTCAATTATATTCCCTAGATAAACCCAATCTGATTCTATTTATGATTTACAAAGTACTCCAAAACTGTAGCATTCTCCTTCCATCAGGCTCATCATGGACAGTTAACAAAAGGATCGATAGAGCATAAGCTGATATCAGAAGAGATTTCCTAAGCGATATTTTATCCATACACGCAGATTTATTTTTCATTTTCAAAATTGGAGTCTTTAACACAGATCCAAAAATCCCAAAAAGTATTTACCAGCCCCAGCCCCCCCTCTGGAGCCCCTGAACAGCTTGATGCAACATTCTGCACATATGCAGTACTCCCCATGACCTGTAAACAGACTTTGATGTTTTATTCCCATGCATTACCATATGAGAGGAACAAACGTGGCCTTATTCAACCCACTGTAAAGCTTTGGACTACATTTCACACGCTTATGAGTAACCCTTTAATCTCTGTACGATTTAATGACACATTATTATCCCAACTTTTGACAAGACTCATTTCTTTGTTCAAAAATCTTTTAATAGTCGTTTTATTTAGATTAAACAACATTATGGTAGGTTTAAAGAAATCAAAACTCGAAGCTTGACGTCCATCATGTCCATTCAGTAAAGAGTGACCCCTGGATATATCCTGTTACGCACAGGGTCCAAACGACTGGGAGTACGCGCATTCATCTGTACGTTTCGTGATACTCCTTCATAAATGTGAATAATTGAGTTGGTATACATACAATTACAACGTAATTACATTTATGTTTCCGAAGATCTTACAGTATTCATAAACAAACGACAAATAAAATGTTGGCCTAAGTTTATTCTGTACAAAGAAGCCAAGCCAAAAGAACCATGAGTTGGTTGGAGTAGGAAAACACATTTTAAGCAATTTTCTTTTTATAGTAAAGCAGAAGTTATATTACTCCAATGTATTAGGCAAAATCTTAGACACGTAAAATAAAAATATAGCAAGGATACTCAAATAGACTACAATAGATTACACAACACTACATATGCGAAACTAAATGGTTAAATTGAACGATGCCTAATTACATTTTTGTAGCGCACTTCTCAGCACACACACTCACGCCCAGTCACACACACTTACATTGGAGTGCTTTATTTTACACTCCCAGATAGAAATACGTTGGATAAACTTTTTTTTTACCATGTGTGTGACCAGTTAAATTTCAATCCATAGTTCCACAGTAAATCCTTGCGAGTGAGTTACAAGGCATTTTAAAGTAATAACAGTAAAAATACATTTTCATATTAAGCAATGTACCATGAGAAATATGTATAAAATAGCTTGATAATAATAGTTAGAATAATAATACTGCTTTTCAGCTTTTCCCAGATTTCATCTCTGTCCACCACGAGTCGTAATGTCACTTCGTTCCTCGAGATCAAAATAGATATCACAGAGTAAGAAAAAGCTTCCCATACAAATCCAACTGTATAAACATTATACTAAGTTCTTGCTAGGTAAAGTTCCAAAAAAGCCAAAGTGGAAAATGAAATGCACTTTTCTTTTTGTCTGCCTTTGAAAATGATTATTATATAAAATGACTTTGCAGTTAGACTTCCTATTATGAGAGAGCAAAGGCAGGATGTTGGCGGTTGTACACCTTTGGAAAAGACAGAACAAACATTTTCAATCCTATTTTACCTACACACCCTAAATACAGCTTTACATTTCCACGTTTTATGTACGTCACGCTACTTCTCTCCTCTCGTCTCCCGCCAGGCTATACCCGAGTGGTGGAGTGGGTGCTAGGCAGGCCTGCAGAGCTGTACCCAGCTGGGAAGGTGCTGTACGGACTCATGTTGGAGAGGCCCATCAGGGAGTTGGGGATCATGGTGATGTTGTTGGGGGTCATCAGTGGGATGTCGTCAGGGGAGCGGCGCTGGCTCAGGGAGTAGTCCATGCTTGGCGAGACGTGGAGAGGATTGTGAAGGGCCTCACACTGGTTCCTCTGCTGGGACAGGCTCTCGTCTATAGTGGTGGTGTGGCTCACGTTGTTGCCTTTGCTGTCGCACTGGGGACTGTGCTGCTGGGACAAGTCCTGCCGACTGCGCTTGTCCTTGCGGTAGTACAGGGCGGCGAAGGCAAGGACGTTGAGGAAGAGCAGCGACGCCCCGACAGCAATGGTGACGCTGAGCTCTGTGGAGTAATCTCTTGGGTTCGGCATGATCAGAGGGCCCATCTCTCTCCCCCCTTCACCGTTGTTGGAGGTGGATGCAGGAGTCCGGCCTGTGCTGCCGGCCCTCTTACCGTTGGACTGGGTGGGATCCAACGGGGTCACCTTGGTGGTGGTGGAGGAGTAGTGGAACATGTCGTGGAGGTTGTAGAGATGGGGCACCAGGTGTTTCCAGAAGGCCACCTTGGTAGCGCGGTAGTGATCACGGATACGAGGCTTCAGGCCGATGTGCAGGTACAGCTGGTCGTATGGGTCGTACTTGGACCAGGCCACCTCCTCGAAGCGGTTGGCCTTGGTGTGGATGAACTTAGTGTCCTGTGGCACTGGTTTGTTGGGATCCCTGCAAACACATGAGACAAAAACACTTGCGTTATTAGACAAAACAATTGGAGAGCTGCCAACAAAATAAGGCTGCAAAAACAACAACCAGCAGCAGTGAAATTGACGTACTGTCAAAAAATAAGTTCCAGAGCGTCAGCACTGGCGTTCAAGAAAATAATAAACCATCTGAAAGCATTATGTAATTTGATTACATAATATTCATGTCCTTTATGTCCCTATATTTTAAACTCGTATTATTATTTTTCGGACAAACTATTTGTTGATGGTAAAAACATTTATTTTTTTCCGTATCCTTTAAAAACTGCTCCTCACCACTCGTAAAATATTCTCTTAACAACAGTGAAGAGCCAAACTAATGAATGAGTCCCAGAAATCAATTGGTACTAACAGATGAGAACAAATCATGGATGCTTAGAGAAATTAGAGGAAATATGTTCCTATATCACTTCCTGCATGAGGAACATTGATGTAGAATTGAATGATTCAGAGCTTCATAGCTCTTAGAAATGAAAAAACTAACATCTGACCATTTGTTTTCTACAGTTCTTTGTTTTGAACATGACGTTGATTATTTTACATGTGATTTTGCTTATATTTGCCAGAACATGATGTATATCTTGAATGGAAAATAGGCTCATTCAAGTTGTGATAACCACATCATTTCCAAATGCAAACTGAAGGGTCAAGAAATAATACAATCTGTCAAAAACACAATGTAATATCACCATCTTTCCTCCAGAGCTCAGCATTCCCTCATACGCACTACAACAGTCGCCTACTGTGACCCGGGCTCTGCTAGGGTCGTCACCTCGGAGTCTCTTTGCAGCTTTGTATTCAATATGCAGGAAGACTCCAGCAGGGCAGCAGCAGCTGAGTCCTCCACTACACTACAACTCACTTAGTGGTCTCTCATCACAGCAAATCTGTGCCTCTGTATGACAAACTGTTAAACAAGCTGTAGTGCTTTACTCTGTTGCACTTTCAACAGCATTTTTCTTTAGTGCTGAGTCACTGTTAGTGTTATATACGGTCGATACCAGGCCATAGCTTCTCTTGGAGAATAAACGCTCTTTTGTGAAAAGCTAGAAAACTTTATTTAGCAGAGAAAGTCTCCTTAAAATGCTTTAAATGTCACTGCTTCTAATAATAATCCAAAGCAAACTGTTACTTGAAGGATTCACACTTCAAATATATATAAGCAGACATAGACATAAGATGGCGGAGGTTTATGGAGAACATCTTAACCGTCTCCTCAAATTTGATCAACTTAACCTTTTTGTAAAACCCTGAGTGACTACTTTAAACATTTATGAGAATTAAGCTGTAAAGTTTTAGATATATCACCTTCAGGAAGTCCGCATGAATTGTTATGTGTGAAAATATATATTGCGTATACTGTACGAAAGCCTACATTAGCTCAGCAGGGCATTTAAAGGAGACAGCTTTTCATTAGACGGAGTGTGCTTATTTTATGTGACTGTACAGTAAAGCCTCACCACAGTTGTGTGGGTGGTGTACATAATTGAACATCTAGTGTGAACAAATGTTATGTGAGTAAAAGAGTACTGTTCTCTATATGTACATAAGCTGAATAAATCTGGCAATGGTATGGCAGACCTAACAAACGAGGAAATTAATTTAAATGTATAATAACTGAAGCACTATGTACCATGAGAGAGTTCTTGTGAACTAACACAGGGGAGAAGAAGATAGAGGCTGGATGACAAGACAGTGGGAGTTCAGGCTTAATTAGGAGGAACTACTGAATCCTATGTTTCTTTAATCAGTGTGATAAAACAAGAGTGGATGCAGCAGGAGTTAGAGGTTGATCATGTCGACGGAAATAGAGTGAGGTCAGTGATGTTAATCCACAGGCCATGGGAGGGTTGTCAAATAGGAAACTGGATGCAACTATATGTAAATGAGCCATATTAAAGTGTACATATAAAGCTAATTTTGAGGGTCCTACTATATGTCAATGAGCCATATTAAAGTGTACATATTAAGCACATGTTGATGGTACTACTATATGTCAATGAGCCATATTAAACGGTACATATAAAGCTAAAAAAAATGATTGGCTTATCGGAAGAAAATGCTAAGTTAGCTCTAAAGCCATGGGTGGAGACACTCAGATGGTGGTTTATTCTAAGAAGTCTGCATGGGGCATAGAAAGGGTAACCACATTTGAATTATACATTTTTCCTGCGGTAGACAGCCTATTAAAGGGGCCCTATTTAGCTTGAAACCGTTAAAATCCCAAAGTAGGAGAAAGTTATCTCCCCCACAATCCCGCCTGCCTGAAATGCCTGAAATGGGCTCCTTTGTTTACTTCCACAACAAAGTGACATCACTAATTCATATTTGCGGTTCTATTAGCTAGCACTTCAATACATTGTACATGATAGGCTATGAGGCGGGACACCTCTAAGCGGTTGACCAATCACAACAGAGTCGGCCAGCTAACCAATCAGAGCAGACTGGGCTCTGGTTTCAGACAGAGGGTGAAAAGAGGTGCTGCAGCACAGGCAGTATGAGGAAAATAAAGACCTTTTTGAACATTAAAGCATGTAAACATGTCACAGGAGTAGAGGCACAAAATACAAGTATGACCCTGAAAATAAGCATAATAGGTCCCCTTAAAAAACATCCCGGGTTGTCTTATTTTAAATTGTTTTGGTTCTCCAGATGCCTAAATGTATGCAAAATCTCTGAAAAAGTTACTTTTCATGATATGTCCCCTTTAAACATTAACATGTACTTTGGATTGTCCCTTGATTTGCTGTTACTCACCCACTCTTGGCGAAGTTGGTCCAGTAAGTCATAACAACTGCGCTGAGCATGATGTCGTTCCTGGAGAAGTTACAGGGGAACAGGTCGGTGGGGCCCACCATCGGGATGCCAAACACGTAAGGCACCTCATCTCCATGTGCTGAGTCTGACCACACTGGCTTCATGAGACTCTGGCAGTGGTGGTAGAAGGCGTAAAAGTAGGTAGGCGAGCCGTAGCGGGCGTGCAGGTCAGCGGTCACCACTGAGGGCTCCACCCATTGGTGGTCGGTGAAGAGAGCCACCAGAGTCTTCCTCCTGGTCTCCGGGTTGTCCTTGTCAGCCCAGTCTGTGTACATGAATTTAATAGTCTCCCTCAGTGTGTCTTTTCCTTCTGGGTAGCCGTACAAACTGTCCACAAAGTCTGACACTGCAAAGTCAAAGTCGCTGCCAGACACGCCGTCCTCCAGATCCATCACGTTCTCCACAAAGCGCAGTCCCTCTCCCTGATTAACACCAAGCATTATATCGTAGTTTAGGAACTCGCCCTGCTCCATCAGGATCTCTGGGTCGTCCGGGATGACGTCTCCGTCAATGACAGGACCGAAAGCGACACGGTATCGAGCCGGTTGGATGTCTTGCTCCACCAGCTCCCTCGCACTCTTCTTCTGCAGGCAGGAGACCATGTCCACGGTGTCCAGCACGTTGCAGCCAACCCTCTCGGCCAGCATGCGAGTGTACTTGACCGGTTGGTAGTTGACAGCCCAGCTGGACAGTGCTGAACCGCTTTGGATAATGGCTCTGTGGAACAAACCTTGGGAGACAAAAATTCAGAACAAAAAGACACAGAAGACAACAGAAGCCAGGGGAACGGTGGTTAGTATTAGTATTCCTTTTTCATTGCAAACCTTAAGAGCTTACTGAACCGCCCCAAGTAAATACATGACTCACTTTAAACTAATTGCTATTCCCAATTAAATCCAAGGTTTGTTGACACACAACATTTAGGTAGATAAAAGCAAATAAGCCCACATGTCATGTACTTTGAATACTTGCCAGGCAGATAAAGCATTAGTGTGAAAGAGAGAAAAGGCCAGATTGAGCTTTGCTGATGAAAAGCTGCTCAGTAAAGCAGCTGGTGGAAGAAATGAGCTGCTAATAGGATGTTGTCCCATTCCATTGTCATTCCAATTTTAGAAAAAGACAGAAATACCGTATTTTCTCTGTTTATCCCTTTTTTTCGTTTACGTGGTGTCATTCCTAAGTGTGGATGACTGTGGACACAAGTCAAATTAATGATCAATTTGCAGGATTGTTTCAATGAGGTGTCTAGTTTTCCCTCTGCCAGTTTATACACTCATTCTGTAATTGTAGAATAGTGATACTGTGTGTATAACGAGCTGTATAGCTTACATATAGGCTTCTGATGCCAACTGTGCGGTGGACGGTCTGTGCAGGGAGGTGAATATGCAGTAACCCTGATCCTCTAATGTTGATACAGTAAACACGATGCTCTGTTGAATTGTTTTTATGCAGCGCGCCACCTCTGTCTCTAGGGATTTTGTATCTACCACCTAAAAATGACAAGTGATATGTATCAAGTCAAAAAAGACTCTGCTGAGGTTAAAGCACAGCAGTCGCTGAAAAGAGTGCATGGGCAGTGTCACTTTCTCCTTCCTTTACTGTCATTTATTTGAATTTTCTTTAGGGCAGCAGCTAGCTAGTCTACTTCAAAGACAGCTGGAGGTGTTTGTGCATTCACTGCAGCCGAGCTAGGGCATCAAATACAAACCGTACAAAGGACAGTTGCCGCAGCCTCCCTGGCATTGACGAAAAGATGCAATTTGTGCCCTTCTTGTGATTCTGTCCAGCATACAATGGGAGGGTCAGGGAAATAATACGGCAAAGATAAGAGTTTCAATTCTCTGTGGGCCATCCCTTTTGAAATGTGCATCCCTATTTTTTTGCAAGGAGCTTTGGATAACTGTTCACTAAATAGCATAATATTAACTTCAAAGAAAAGTATGTTCCAACATATCTTTTGTTTACCGGGGATAATCAGATATCCGTTTCCTTTGGGTATTCAGCATTCATGTTTACACTACTGTCGACATTAAAGTAAACTTTTTATTTTACCCATTTTAATTTGTATTGTATTATTATATTTTTCTTAAAACTTTTACAGTATGTTTATTCTTGAATAAAGCATCTGCATTAGTATCCTCTTATGCCCCCTCAATCAATAAAGTATTCATGATACTGATTATGATACTCTAAATACAGGTATTTAAATTGAATTCATATTGGTTTATATTGTCGTTTCAAAGAATAATACAGTGAATAAAAATAAAGCATCAGTTTGAACATGCTGTACTACATCGTGACATTTTCACTGCAAATATATGTTAGAAAGTAGAAATATCTTTAAAAAAACATTTAAATAATGTGGCTTTGTCTTTGGCTAACAGCGTCTGCTCGATGCAAATAAATGCTAATGCCCAAGAAATGAGTGCTATTTTTATATTTCGAAGACAATACATGGGTAAAAAAGGGTAAACAAATCTGAAATAGGGACATATTAGTCAGTCCAAATGGAGAAACTGATGGACACAGATGAACGTGAAGTCATGATGAAACTTTATAATGCCAGTAGGCTTCTTTAAGAGTTTCACATTTTAGGAGGCAAAGCTTTTAGGCTGATTAGATTGAGTTGTGGGGAACAAAAGCGATCACTTACTTAACAAATACCCCCTATACCCTACTCCCACATCATAACACTTAATCTCCCTGACAGACCATTTAGAGCCCCACTTGAAACAAAGAACAAAAGTCCAAAATAATTAAAATGTATTGTTCAAAAAGTAACTTTGGCATTCTCAGGATGAGCAATTAATATAGTTGAATGTTGACACTGCTGCTAAATGATTTCATTAATTGCTACTTAAACTTTAGCTAAAAATTGAGTAATTCTGAAATAACTGAAGTCGTAAATAACTGAGATGGGGATACTTACCCTCTGAGTGGTGGGACAGAGTTAGCAGACTGACGCAGGAGGCACCGATTCCAGATCCAAAAACTGTGATGCGACCCGGGTCTCCTCCAAAGTAACCGATGTTCTTACTGATCCAGCGGAGAGCTTGAATCTGGTCCAGGAGTCCGTAGTTTCCTTTTGCTGCCTGGTCACCAGTACTGAGGAAGCCTGAAGCACACAGAGAGACTTCAGAGGCAGTGCTGAAGAAGAGATATACAGTCTGTGCCACAGCTTTGATCTAAAGTTGTATCCCAGCAGGGCATCTGAGTGAGCTGACACCGTTTCCCCTCAGGTGCAAATATGCCTTTGCTCTCTCCCACAGTGTCTTGACTGCTTTAGTCAACTTCTCGTGATATGGACTCCAACAGTGGCACCCCTCAGGAAGTAAAAAGGGCTCAGCTCGTTGAATCTGAATTCCTTCATCGCATGTGACTTAACATAAAATTCAATGTGCATAAATAAATAAATCATTAACTTTACTCTAGATGTATTCCCCCAAAAAACGCACACTGGTCCGTTGTGTTCTTACAATTGATCCTATTACCCATTCCCTTGTCTAGTCTGATCTCGACAATGTACTGTTTTGAATGTTAACCACAAGGGAAACTCTTAACCTTGCAAATGTTTTTTGAATACTACATCCATCAAATACTGTATTTAAATCATTATGTTTTCTTTTACGAATGGAGAAGGCTTATTATTTTTATAACAGATTAGATAAATCCATCTGAAGGAAGATAAATGCATTTTCAAAGTGGGTCTAAAACAGCTTTTTATGTAACAAGGACATACCACGATACTTATTTGCATCACTTTTCCTCTGAGGACAACATTTGTATGCAAATCAAGCCACACTACCAATATCTCAGTTGCCTATATTTAACCTATACTCCTGTGCATTTTTCTCTCATCTCTTCTATTATTTATGCGTAATTGCAGAAAAACAAGTGGAAATAAATGACCATAATGTTTGTTCTCCTACATTTAAGAGGCTAAATACCCCATTTAAAACACCATTAACTGTTACCAAACAGACCCGTTTTCATCACCTAATATTCCGATTCTGTAGTTGAGCGTGACCACGATAACGTTCCCATAACTGGCCAGCACGCTGCCGTCCATCATGTTCCCGGTGCCCTCCATATAGGAGCCTCCATGGATGTAGACCATCACAGGTCGAGCTTCAGAGTCCCTTATATCTGCAAGGTCAACACACACACATATGCTGAGCAAACAACAATTAAATGGATAATGAATGTAGCACTGATATCAAAACGTTATATCAATTGTTCAGTGTGAAGCATGAGTAAAGACAGATTAGAAAAGGTGCTTGGAAGCAGTGATAGGCTTGTGGTTTGGAAAGTGTAATGATATTTAGAAAATGCATGGTAAATACTCTCTAAAGTACTTCCTCATCGACCATTTTAAAATTACAGGTAAAAAGAAATAAGCATATATTTCTTTGATTCGCGGTTTGATGTCAGTTGAGAAAAATATGCTGTAATGATGACTTTTTATAGTTTAAGATAAATTAGCATGCACAAGCAGAAAAAGCATGTGTGTAGACTTGGACTGAAAAAGTCCACACTACACCAAGCTCTTGTTACCAAATGCTAAAATAGGAACGGTTACTTCTTTCAATAAAAAAGGAAAATCTATGGTGCATGTTTGGATTTTTTACAATGACCAATGGCTGTCTTTAAAAAGACTGTAAGACATAGATAATGCAAATCTGTGAATCAATGTGCATGGCAGCAGAGATGTAGCTCAAAAGGATCGTAAAAGAGCTCAAATGTGCAACAACAGCGATCTCATGTAAAACCAGATAAAAATGGTCTCATCTCACTCAAGTACAAGGAACCCCACTTGTTTCTGAGGAAAGAAGAAGCTAAGAGTGTTAGATCTCTTTTCACTTAACTAAAATAAAAGAATCCATGCATCAAGAGTTTGAACTCTTAAAAAAAATACCTTCGGATATATGAGCCTCAGCATGTGAGAAAGCCGCCCCCTTTTTCTTGTGATGGCTCCCTGCGATTCACATAAGGAAAAAGAAGTACAAAATTCAAAATAGCATGGTTGACTGTGCCTTTTGCTTAAGAAAATCCGGTCCAATTAAACTGAAAGATCCATAAATTAAAGGCAAAAAAAAGATTAGCCCATTTGCATGTTGCACTTTTACCTGTGATTGCTTTCTGACAAAATGCAGATGAAATTATGTAAAATCTTTAGGCATCTATGACAAAATGACATTATAAGCTAGAGTAGAGATGCAAAATAAGTGTTTGTTATTCTGTTTTCATAAAGTAAACAGATTCTTGTCCTTGTTAGATATTTGTAGGAAATGGCTCAGGGTGTACACACACACACACACGCCCATACACACACTGCTACCTATGAATGCTTTATTATCTGTCTTTATATTGATCCAGCTGCCTCGGCTTTGACTGGACTAATACATCTTTCTTGGTTCATTATTATCTCTCTAAACAATTATATTTTAGAACTAACTGTCATGTTGTTTTTTCAGGTTAACCGCTGAAAGCTGAACACTGTCTAACTTTGAATGACAAATGTTTTCATGTTATAATGCTTGAGGGAGAAAAAACATGTTGACCTGAATTAGAGAAATTAATTAAATTAAGTTAGTCAACTACAGGTTAATGAATGAGACACAAAATGTCCCCTTGTTCATTTCACAGTTCTTATACAAACAAAGGAGGGATTCAACTAGAGATAAATATTAATTGACTCCCACTAATTGGCCCAACAGAAACAATGTCTGAGAAAAGATGAGATTCATTAAAAAATATGGAGCAATCCACTTTTTTTTTTCTAGCTTTACCAGATCTTAGTGAATCTTCAGGATGACCTTTGATGCTCAGTGGTGATGGCAAACCAGGCTCATCGTTCATCAAATACTGAAATGTTTTCCTCAGTTTAGTTGGACAAATAGAGATATTGCGATATGATATTTAATTGGGTGTTTAATGCTTGTAAGAAACAAGCACACACCCGGGTACATTTATGTCCAGTTGCGCCTCAGTGGCATCAGAGTATCTTCAGTTGCCACAACTCCAAATGTATGAATAATTTCCCGCTTATCAATGGGCACATGATTGTTATTTCAAATGGATTGCAACAAGTAAAACAAAGCATTGCTTTGGATGGTAAATCAGCCCTTGGTGGCAGCATTGACATGAGCAGTGGCCGCACACATGCTTTATGATGATAACAGAGCAACATCGATAATAATGATCAGAAGATATGAAAAGCCATTGCTGCCTTTTAGCAAAACCAACTCACCATCCTCCGTCGGAGCGTAGATGTTTAGATACAAACAGTCCTCGCTCTGATCCTGAATGTAGGTGGCTACTGTGTCAAGGTTATAGGTGAACCATATGGGCATCATGATCTCGGGCACGGTGTTGTGGATGTTCTGAGGGCACACGGGCATGAAGTGGGTAGCATTCTTGACTCCGGACCAAGAGGAGGGTTGGTCAGGGGGCATGAAACGCTTCTCACCGATTGGTGGAGCAGCGTAGGGGACCCCCAGATACTGATCAACGGGCCGGAGCACCTCGCTGGGCACGGGGACCCGAAGACCTCGGAGTTTCCCAAACTGAGTAGTCACTGTCGGGTAGAATTTCTGGCTTGTGGACTTGGTGAAGGACCAGCAGGAACATAGTATCCACCAAAGAAGAGCACAGTGGGTGACGGTTACAGTCCCTTGATGGTGCAGCAGGTGTGCAGGCAACAGATGGTCTCTGAATGTAGCCAGCCACATGGTCTGGGCAGGACAGTGCCCTTGCACAGCACAAATGCTCACTGTAGTGTGCGCTCAGTCCCTTTGCGCTGAGCCTATCAAACAGACATCACTCACTATGCCTTTGGCAGTGACGGTTATCAAATCCAAACGCACCTCAGCCAGGTATGGAGCGCCACCACCTCCACTTTTCATTGCAGTGCACACAAATCTGAAAACAGGAGGAAGAAAACATCAAACTATGAGAAAATAGTCAATTTCTGCATAATTGACTACACTTTGATAAATGTATTATCATAATCCTGTATCTTGGGGCTATAAATACATAGTTGTTATATAGCTTTATATCAGTATGCCTCATCCGATGTAACGCTTCAATGCTAATGATCTTTTGGGGGCAATTGCTGTCTTAAAAGAGCAAATGTATGCTTAGACATGTTCAAATCACTGAATACTGATCTGTGCATCAGTGGGGGAGGAGATGAATCTGAAAAATCCATCTGCTGGGATGTTGGAGTGATGCTGCGAAAAACATCTCCTCTTAAAAGGTGTTAAGCAGCCCTTTTCTTCTTCTAAAATCAACAAAATGAACAGCAAGGAAAGACAAATCTTACAAATGCATTGAAGACAGATTCAAATGACATTTCTGGGAAATAAATATCTGATTACATGTTTGTCTTTGATATTTTAACAACACCAAATATCTCACATCATAGATAGGGAATGTTTGAATGTGTTGTTGTGTCTTACATCTAAGCAGCACTGGCAGTGACTGACTTGAAGAAGCATAATGGAGAAGTGTCCCAGAACAAACATGTCTGATGGGACTGCAGTAGCACCAACGCCCTCCTCATAAAGCAGAGTAATTGCAGGTTAATTGAAAGACTTGAGGGAGGCTTTTACGCAGCAAAAAACATTTGAGTTCAATAACAGGGGAAAACGAGCCTTTGACTTATTTTTGTGGATTTGATTTGTGGGAGTCTTCACCTGCTGCAATCGATTTGTTCCCTATTTTTCACTTCTTTCAACGGGTAAGTCTTTATTTTACAGCTATGGAAGCCCTACATGCTTTCTTGTTGATTCAACTGATTTATCTTACTTCTCACTGAAAAATTCAGATCTGTTAATTATTCTAGGGAATATTGCACTGCTTGATGCTAAGATACCATTATGAATGCTTCAGTAAGCAAGGGAATACATTCACCCCTAATCACATGTGTATACTGTATTCAAATAAGGTATCAAATGTAAGCTCACCCGTGGAGAACTCCGGAGAGCAAATTGTGTTGCAAGTCTTCCAATTAGCTACTTTGTTATCCAAAGTGCATCCCGTCTTAGTCCTTATTGTGTAGAGTAGCAGGAAGCATATAATGCTTGGCATTGGTTTCTCACTGGCTCGTCAATGAGCAAAGCAAAAACAAGCTTGTTAACCTAATCAAATCTATTGACGAGTACTGCCTGGAGCTTTGTGAAAGACTCCAACTAAACTGCTCTCTGTCAATCTGACCTATCTATTAGGACAGTGGGACAATTTTCTTTCTCCTTAGAGGAACTAATTAAGCATAGATGTGGTGCATTGGCTTTTCTCTGCAACATTTTGTTTACACATGCATGGACGTCCACGCAGTCTAAAGGGTCCACGTTCTCTCTTTCAGGTAATGTAGCACATTACATGATACAAACACCATAGTATGCCACATTTTTAAAGAACAAGACACATCAAATGAATATCACGTCCGATGGAGAATTATTGTACCAGTCTGCCCTAGGCCAGCTTTGTCTGTATTAATTAACACTTATGAAAAATCCCCATAGCCAAAAAAAGGACAAAACTTGTTCAATCTACTATCTGTTATGTGACAATGATGTACGGCTCCCAGGACATTAAAAAAATGGAAAAGATAAAGAGCCTGATTTTCTTCCTAGATCAGGGCACATCTCATGGTTCGGAAGTGAAATTGATAATAAATCACTTGGAGGTAAAATCCTCAATGTTCACAAAACCTGCTGGAAATCACTGTCAGTGATCTTAAATAGCAGTTATGGTCTGAACAGTGGGCATCAACAATCACACTTGGTCGTCTGTAGCCCACAAAGCATCCCCACTGCCCGTGCTGCTAGATCAAAGGGATACTATGAATGAATTCTTAAAATGAACAGCATTTCCTTTTAAATTACCCATGCATTCATGATATTAGTATCAGTGGATGTGCTTTCTTTGTGCTATTTGACATCAAATTAAAGTTCTAAAATAAATCACTAGAACAAAGCTGTGAATGACATGTGTACTTTCATTTTGTTTAACTGATTGTACTGCAGACTTACTAAAGCATCTGGATGCTGCCTGCGCTGCAGAGTATTCTTTTACCAACTTGTGATCTGCGATGGGGCAGATGTGGATAAAAGCTTTATAGCTTACACCAAATGGGCCATGTAATAAACATGAGCCATCACTCAGTCGAGTTTGATGCACTGCAAGTTTTGGGGCAATTTAGACTGGCATCACGCCCAGCAACAGAAAAAGAAAGAAACATGGGTGAAATACAGTCTGTCTTTCCAATTAAATGCTTGCAATAACTCAGTAAATGAGCGATAAGTTCAAACAAATCAAGATGTTTTACAACCATAACATATAATTCTACTTGACTATTTTGAACCAGCCAGATGTTTATGCATCACAGATGTCGTTTGCTATAAAATACTTGTTTTTTTTCTGCAAAATACTTAAACATGACTGACTTGATCCCATTTACAAACCGATTAGTATGATTACTATAATCATGTTTCTCTCCCACTATTACTATACACCTACATAATCGACAGGCACACAAATCAACACCAATTCAGCACTTGTAAAAATCTCTGGGACAACATCTTATCGATCAGAATCTGGTAGCCTGGGGGCCCTCGACATGAAAGCATTTGAGAAGAAGCCTAGTCCTATGTCAGACAGCAGGACTGGACTCCCAATGCCCTTGTAATTCGACTGGTGTGGATCAAACCCGTTTTAGTGGATTCCCCAGATCCCTTTAATTTAGCAATGCAATAACAAGGAGCAGGGATTGACGCATTGACTTTACCTTCTCGATGCATGCAGGTAGCACTCAACATAATGATCAGAGCTTAATAAATGAATGCACGGATCCAGACCCACAAAGCAAGCCACAGCCCAGATAGCATCGACAAACTGCTGTAGTGTGTATATGCGTGTGTGTGTGTGTGTGTGCGTGTGTGTGTGCAACCTCACGTTGTGACTGGAAAGCTTATTAAATCTAGGTCTAGGACGATTTAATATTGGATCAAATGAAAAACATAGCAAGACAAAACATTCTATCGCGAACAGCTCTGAACGTTACAATTATCTAAGATGCAAATCAATCTGGACAAGCATTCATCCCACGGAGGAAGAAAAAAAAAACAGGCATAATCATTAGGTTAACTCACCTGCTTTTACACAAGCTGATACGCGCTCCATCTCCAGATTTCCACCATACCATGCCCGTCAGTGTCGCTACAATACAATGGGGCTGGCTGTGTGTGAAATATGTCCCCCGGTTTTGCTATCAAACGCACGGATCTGTACTCTTATCTCCTGCTTTGCACAGACTGTGTGCTTTGCGCATATACGACGCCAAGGTCAGGAGCGCCAACGGTTTTAATGGAGCGCCCACCATAGAGATCTCTGTACGGCGCCCACTGCCAGCGCGTTACTAGGCAACCACCGGGATACGCCAGTGCATTGAATTCACCCTCCAACAACCGACAAAATCCCAATTTAGAAACCATTAAGTAACTACCGTAACCTCGGACAGCACTCACGTACTCACGCGCTTTGTGCTCCTGCAAATCCCATCTACCTTTGACCAGATAAACAAGTGAGGCTATTGAAGCAGAGTGCAGGCCTGCATGGAGAGGAGGAGGATGTGCATTTGGAATACATTAGGCTATTTCATTGGCATAATCCTTTTAAGGACATTAAGATAGGACACGAAAAATATCCCTCCAATGTGTTTTCCCACATGGCTTGGTAATATGTTTTAAATTAGATTCCTAATCAACTCATCTGCTTGTAGCAAAGTCCTAAACAATATGAATGTGCAATTGAAACGTCTGTTCTCCCATCACTAAGGGAATTGTATCTGAAAAAAGAGAAAGGAAGCAGTGTTGGAGAGCCTTGCAGTGACAGCTCTGGAACACCAGGTCCACAATGTTTAACAAGCAGGTTGGATGGAGACAATACACAGAAAGGCCGTCCCTTATTAGGACACAATAATGAATTGCTCGAAGGCAACACAAATAAAAAAACGACTTCAAGTGACAGGAAATTAGCCAATTGAAGGAAAGGGAACACTAGAAAATAATTATTACAATAAATTATAAATGCAATACAATAAATTGTGTTGCACCTTTCAAATAAGAAATGCAGCAGGCTTCAAAATAAGGTAAATTGACATAAAACCAATTTAAAAACATGGATAGAAGGCCAAATGAATAGAAAATGGTGTCGAAAATAAGACACTTTTTATAATGATAGTACAAATAAAAAGGATTAAATAAGATGAAAAATAATAAATACAATACTTAACATAAGATGGAAGATAAAACCTAATTATTCATAAAGAAGTTTTACACATTCAAATCAGTATCTTCATCAATAAACACTGCAGCACCATCAAAATAACTCCATTCTCTTTGAGTCTTCTTCCCTTTCATACATACATCAGTTTCTGATGTTGCTCCTCTCTTTGTGGAACACTTGTCCTAGAAACTAAAGATCTTTGGAATGGTTGTGTTGTAGCTGTTGCTTCGTACACTCTTCCTGCTTGCCGAAATATGTATTTCTTTATAGGGAGCTTATTCTTCAGATGCATTCGTATACGATTATCTTGAAATCCCAAAAATGAATACTGAAATCCGCCCAAACCACAAACTAGAAATCTACTAACATGGTATGAGGTATGAGGTGAGGTCCAGACAGTTGCTGACAGAGCAAACATTTTTTCTCACATACGCTTTATTGTATAATGCCCAGTGGCAATAGCTGTGATGATGTGATTTATGCATGTGCAGAGCCAGGGATCGTCTCACACTCCTGGAAGAGATGCTGCCTGATATCTTTTTTAAGCTTGGTTACAAAGCAAAAAGAGATTATATGGATAACAAAATGCCTGAACAATGTCTTATTGATACATAAAGAAGATAAAACCTATAAAGATATTTTGAATGCAAGGAGATTATTATCATCTTTTAAAGAAGTTAGTATGATAGTGGATTGTTATGTCACTGGTGTTTTTAGCATCTTATACAGCCCCAACACTACGTTTTTAATAAGGGCATTTCTCTGTGTGTGTACTGGACTCACCAATATTACCCTTGTGGCATGTGAAAAGTTCAACAAGCACATTTTGAAAGGAAGACATTTTAATTAAAGACACCATTTCCAGTCCAGATCTGCAGCCATGGACAGTTTCTCCACGTCAACCTACAGTAAGTGTGGGCTGAGTCAGCTTGATAAGGGACAAAGACAAAGCTGTTTCCATGGCCATGGGTGTGCCAGGATATCCCTATAAATAATACAAATATTTTCATTCTCTGTTGATGGAAAGAATCTCACTTAGGGTTGAACTAAAAAGTAGATGAAGACAAGAGGACTTATCCCATGGGCATGGTAAAGTGAATCTGTCAATCACCATAATATGTCATGTCTGCATTTGCTCCAGCTCATGTACCTTCCAGGGCTTCTACCTTTGTCTTTTTAAGCCTTAAGACTATTGCACTACATTTTCAGATTAAGACCTGCTGTGGATTAGGGGTGGAGTAGGTTTGTTCGCCAACCCCTGCAGTCAACAAGTCGGAGTGTCTTTAGGCAAGATACTGAAGTCCAAATGGCTCCCGATGGCTTGGCCAACGGTCTGTGAATGTCTATCCTAATGTGGCATATTGTCTGGAAGCCTCTGCCTCTGTAAGAATGTGTGTGAATGGGGGAATGCTGACTTGCGCTTTGAGGAGTCCCAAAATAATGGAAAAGGACTATATAAATGCAGTCCTAATGCTGGGCCTGACTGGGCCACACATTGCACACCATCAGACATTTATATAAGCTCCTCTGCAGGCCTCGCTCGAGAAAGGTACTTTTTGGGTGGGCAACCACAGGAGTGGGAGGAATTTGGTTATGCTGTGAGATTTTAGAACAATGGCAGATGCCTTAGAAAGCAGGTGTAGAAAATACTGTACTGACAATGTATTATTGAAAGCGGAACTTTGAGAAACTCGTGAATCCAGTTGATGTGGCTTCTGTCGTCACGAGTACTCAACAAAACTGAGGTTAAAAGGGCCAAAATAACTTGTGTGGCAATGTATTTTGCCGAACCATTCTTCGAAAGGGGCTTTGAATAGAACTACTTCTCCCTCAAATTTAAAGGATCCAGGTGAGGCCATTTGATGATAAGCATACCGCCCAGGCATATCCAACTGGGAGGAGAGCTTGGGACAGACAGAACAAAAAATAAAGGGATTACACCACCCATGTGACCTTGATACTTCCCTGTGTCAACCAGGAGTAACTGTAGGATGGGGCTGGGGAGAGAAATATCTGTGCCACCAAGGACCTGGATTTCACATATTAAACATTTGCAGTGACAATTTACGAACCTGTCTCAATCAGCTGTCTCATTTCATCGTAAATGCTCTTTTAAGCTGGAATAATGTGTTTGAATCAGTAAATGTCAACCTTGATAGGTTCATAGCCCTACATCTACATTCTGCTCTCTTTCTTAACAGGGTCAGTATTGTTCATGCTTTCTGGATTCCCGGTGGCTCTGATCACTTTGTTCTTGCTGCAGTGTCTGTCGAGTGCATGGAGGATACGATACCAACAGGACCAAATAACGAAGAGAAGCACTCCTACTGCTCTCCCCCAAAAACCACTTCACTAAGTTATGGATAAAAGGTCCAGAGTCTTTCATGCATGCTGGACTGGCATCATTCAATGTACATTTATTTCAATACATCATACTTATGTAGTCATCCCCACTTTCTTTTATTTGTCTTATGTTGTTGTATTGTAAGGTTGTATCAATATATGCAACATAAATGAATCAAAGTAAAATGCTTATTTCTTCCCCATAAATAGATTAGATTAGATTATATGAAACTTTAATGCACCCCATGGGGAAAGTGGGTCACGGCAGCTGTAGCGAGGCGGGTATACTTTAGGTAAGAGTAAACAGAAATGGCTGCTGAAGATAGAGGAAAACAACACAAGAAGAAATAGAAAATATGGTAGTGAATATAGCCATCTAAAATGGGAATATAATGCCAGACATATAACAAACAATAGCTAACATCCTTCATTTGAAGATGGCTCGTGGTTGTAGTTTATAGATTTACAGCACAAATGCAGTGTGTGCAATATGTGCATCACTGCAGTTCGAGGAACGTAAGCACACAGAAAACTGTCAAAATATGCAAATGCTACATGTAAATTATTCATGTAGACCTACTGATCATTTTACAGTTGGAGGTAAGATATTTATAGATGCATGTTAAACCAAGATTTCAATTACATAACCAAATTATTAGCAATTACCAATCAAAGATGCAATTATTTGCTCAGAAAGCATGCTCCGTGCTGTCTGGTTGTCAGATAGCCCCGGGGTGTTCTTGAAGTGAGAGAATCACAGGTAAAGGTGGAATGGCTTAGTTTCAGGTCATAACTACATTAGGTGCATTTTCACTGAGCACCTTTTGCACTTATCATCACTATAATTGTTCTCAATATCAATCTTAATGATATCTGATTAAACAGACTAATCAAACCACCTTCAGAAAAATGTAGTTGTACATTCGTCAAACCAAATTTGACATAAATATATGTAACATCTTCCCCATTATAGATCCCTGTCATATAATACAGTGTGTCACTAAAACCTCCCATGGTCCAGACCTGTGCATAAAGTCTGTCTGCATCAAAAACTGCGAATATGGACTTTTTTGTCCATAATTTTGTCTTTCGGGTAACATTATATCCAGGCTGTATACTGGGCTTGTGTACCGCCCCTGGCGTTCTTGCACAAGCCAATAGATGCAATAATGGCCAATGCAGGGTTCTTGCAGTGGATATTTGAGGCAGCCTGAGGGGAGGAACAACCTACAAGACATAGCTCAGGGAATTAAACCACCACCATGTTCAGGTTGCCACTTATTTCCCATGATGCAGTGCGCGAGAGTAATGTGTTATGTTCGATAACTATTTTTATTTGATTTATATTGAGTTCATAAAGATGCACATTTGCTGCGGTGATTCTAATATGTTGAATATAACTGACGTGTAATTTACACATTAACAGTCGTCTTCTAGCAGAGAGCCCCGGATGTTACCGTAACTAAGGGCAACCGCCAATGACGGATCTCGCGGGAGAATCAACGGTAAAACGTCACCCAAACAACTCAAAAACAACCAGGCACTACTGTGTAGTTTGTTACTTTCGGGAAAGCTAATGCTTTGAACATGGAGAGACATAACGTGGGAACAGAAAAACTCATAGCGCCAAATGATTTTAGAACACCAGCGGTTTCACGTAAGTGTACTGATGTAGCCGCATTTTTGGTTTACATTTGCTGCCAACTTGAAGCTAATGTTGATTTTAAGATAATGCTAGCTAACGTTAGCCTACACTGTAGGCCCTACAGTGTTGCCTAGCTAACTTAACGTCAACGCTCTAGCTAAGTTTGTCGCCATTTGTGAGCTCAAGCCTTATGAATGAA